TGTTTATTTTGCTTATTTATTTTTATGTGGTGCTGAGGAGTGAACCCAGTACCTCACACCTGAGAGGCAAGTGCTCAATCACTGAGCTACAACCCCAGCACATACATATGATTTTTTAAGAGCCTCCCATGGGCTGAAGAATGATGGGACTCTGATCACTGGAAAAAGTGAGTGGATGGTTTGTGTTGGAAAAGAGAAGTCTGGATAAGACAGAGCAAAAAAATAGTTTTTCTGAAAGCAAAACTCTTTGTAGTCAAGGAAAAGAACTTGTATATGTTTGATTACATATACAAGTTGTAAACATTGTAAAGTTTTTACATATACAGATGACAGAGCAGAAACAAAAGAGGAAGATACAGGGAAACCTATTTTGGCTCAAAAAAGGAAGTCCTTTGACCACATTTTGCCCTTTCAGCATAAAATCCATCACACCACACAAACATCTGACCACAGAATGCCAAGTGGAAATGGGGCCCTTGCTTCTCTCAGTTCATCTCCCTCTACTTGCTTCATTTCCTTCCTTCTGTAGGGTGTATTATTCATCGTTATTTTATCATTTCAAATCTCTCAGTCTTTGGGCTTCACTGGGGATGCCTGTGCCCCAACCCTGACATTGGATGAATGAATCCTGTTACTTCGATACTGAACACTACCAGAAAAAAATATTGAGATATATGTTATAGATATATAGATATATAGATACCTTGAGACTGGAACCATGATACATAGTTTCTAGTGTCCAAACTCAGTTGGGGACAAACCTTTTTGTGGGACCTTGGTGTAATAAAATGCCATTCAGTGTTTTTTTTTTTTTTTTCTTTCCTTAGCGCAGCAATGCCCAGCCCTAAGCCCACTGCTCTCATTTAATTAATCATTCAGTAAAGACTGATGGAATACCTGCCATGATTTATGGAAGCACTACTTTGTAAACTGAATGCAAGTGACACAGCCCATGGACTCATGGAGATTTGTTTTCCATGGTAGTTGTACCAATTTACATTCCCACATGTGCCCAAGGGTCCTAATTTCTCTACATCTTTCCCAAGGCTTATTGTTTTCTTTTGAATAGTTGCCATTCTAATAAGTAGGAGGTGATGTCTCCTTGTAGTTTGTTTTTTTCTTTGTTTTTATGACATGTGGTCTTGCTATGTTTCCCAGGATGAAGCACAATGACTGTTCACAGGTGCAATCCCACTACTGATAATTAGTAAAGAGACCCGATTGGTGTAGTGTACCACACCCCCAAACTCCTGGGCCCAATCTATCCTCCTGTCTCAGCCTATGGTGTTTTTTTTTTTTWAATTTTTAAAAATTGGTAGTTGCAGATGGACAGAATGCCTTTATTTTATTTGTTTATTTTTATGTGGTGCTAAAGATAGAACCCAGTGCTTCATGCATGCCTGGCAAGCCCTCTACCACTGAGCCATAACCCTGACCCCCTCACTATAGTTTTGATGGCATTTTCTTTTCTTTTTTTTAAAGAGAGAGGAGAGGGGGGGAGAGAGAGAGAGAGAGAGAGAGAGAGAGAGAGAGAGAGAGAGAGAGAGAGATTATTTATTTATTTATTTATTTTAGTTCTCGGCGGACACAACATCTTTGTTGGTATGTGGTGCTGAGGATCGAACCCCGGCCGCACGCAAGCCAGGTGAGCGCGCTACCGCTTGGGCCACATCCCCAGCCCCTGATGGCATTTTCTTAATGATTAGTGATGTTGAGCACCTTTTATGTGCTTATTTGGCACATAAATATTTTCTTTGGAGAAATGTCTATTTAAGTCTTTTTGCCCATTTTTGAAATGGGTTATTTGTTTTTCTGTTGTTGAGTTTTAGGAGCTCTTTCTATATTCTGGGCATGAATCCCTTATCAGATATATGATTTACAAACATGTTTTCTCATTCTATATGTTGCCTTTTTACTCTGTAGGTGATGTCTTTTGATGCACAAATTTTTAAGTTTTTCTTGAAGTCCAGTTTGCCTATTTTTTAAAAAATTTCCTATACCTTTGGCGTCGAAATCTCTGACAAGAAATCTCTGTCGAACCTAACATTATAAAGTTTTTGCCCTATATTTTATTCTAAGAGTTAGGTSTTTTAGATCTTACATTTAAGTCTCTAATAATTTTGAGCTACTTGAGCATTCATTCTTTTTATGGTTTGGATATGGGTTATCCCCCAAAAGCTCATGTGATAGACACTGCAGGAATGTTCAGAGGTAAAACAGTTATATTATGAGAGCTATAACCTAAGCAGTGGATGAATCCATTTGGTGGATTAAAAATTTGAAAGAACTACTTACTGAGTGGCAACTGTAGGCAGGTTGGATGTGGCTAGAGGATGTAGGTCACTGGAGTCATGACTTTGGGATTTTTATTTTGTCCCTGCACTTTGATCTTTCTCTCTGCTTCTTGGTTGCCATGAGTTAAACTGGCATTCCTTCACCACACCCTTTTTGGCATGATGTTCTGCCTCATCTCAGGCCCAGAGCCATTGGCCATAGACTGAACCTCTGAAACCATGAGCCCCAAATAAACTTTTCCTCTTCTAAGTTGTTCTTGTTGGGTAACTTGATCACAGCAACAAAAAGCTAACACATTTTTTTTTCCATGTGGGCATACAGTTTCCTTAGTACCATTTGGTGAAAGAATTGTCTTTTCTTCATTAAACAGACTTGACACCCTTGTCAAAAATTGATTATAGATGCAGTTTATTTCAGGAATTTATTCCATTATCTAGATGTCTGTGTTTATGACAGTACCACACTATTTAGATTACTGTAGCTTTGTAGTAAGTTTTAAAATCTGAAAGTGTGAGTCCTCCAGCCTTGTTATTCTTTTTTTTTTCTTTTTTCTTTTTTGAGAGAGAGAGAGAGAGAGAGAGAGAGAATTTTTTAATATTTATTTTTTAGTTTTTGGTGGACACAACATCTTTATTTTATTTTTATGTGGTGCTGAGGGTGGAACCCAGTGCCCTGCGCATGCCAGACGAGCGCGCTACTGCTTGAGCCACATCCCCAGCCCTGTTATTCTTTTTCCATTTTGTCTTGCATGAGGCCCTTGATTTGATCACCAGCAGTGCAAAAAAGGGGAGGGACTGGAGTGTAGCTCATAGTGGAATGTTTGCCTAGCATGTGCAAGGATCTGGGTTCAATCTCCAGCAAAACACATTTTTTCTTGACCTTTGTACTTCTTATAGTGCAGAAATAACAAGGGCTGGAGATCATTGTGATGGAAGCTGGAGATGTTCATGCATTCCAGTGCCCACCATGTGTCAGGCACTATAATAAGCCCTGGAAATACAATGGGAATAAAGTAATAGCAATTTGCCTTGGACCATACTTTGAGTAGCATTTTTTTTACAAGGCCCTACATGACCTGGTCCCTGATATCTCTCTAATATTATCTCTTACCCCTCTCCAACTTTGATTATTTTGATACAGCCACACTGGCATTCTTGCTTTTTCCTTTAACTCCCAAAGACCTCAGGGTCTTTGCATTTTGATTTTTTCTGCCTGAATTATATTCCCCATATTATCCTCAAGCTTGGTTTCCAGTTCACCCAGATCTCCGCTCAGATATTCCTTATCTGAGAGGACTTCCCTGAAAATCTTCTGTTAGACAACTCAGGCTATCATGACAAAATGCAACTTAATCAACAGGTATTTGTTTCTCACAGTTCAGGAGACTAGCAATCCAAGATCAAGGGCCAGCATGGTTGGTTTCTAGTGAGGGCTTGCTTCCTGCCTTGGAGATGGTCTCCAGTCCTACCTAACCAGGTACAGTTCCCAGTTCTGGTCATCTGATTTCAGATTTCTGAGCCTTTTTACAAGCTGCCTATTTTTGCCTGGGATGTCCTTCATGAGGAAGTGATAGTCATGTCACAAAATACATATTACATGTTTTATCTTTTTCAAATCCTTCCTGAGTTACCTCCCATTGTGGAGATTATTTCTCCATCTTCTTGAATCACAACTAGCTTTTATGTGTCTACCTCCCTTACTGAATTGAGAAAATTCCCTGAGGGCAAATGTGTTATGATTGGTCTGTATACCAAGCTAATATGGGGCCTGAAGTGGAATAGGGGCTCTATAACTATTTCATGAAGTATGATCAGAGCTATTCAAATGTAAAAAAAAAAAATGTCTTGGGGTGATTAACTCTTCTATACTAGAAACTTCCCAGCAGACAGGTAGATGGTCCCTTGGGAACACTCCAGTGAGTTTCCAGCTAATTTAGTTGTATTTTGCCATTCTTTGAGTCTGGTTTTGCTGACCTCTATAACTCTCCCACCAATGCTAATTTTCTCATTCCTATCTATGAGGCTCTAGACACTGGCCTAAGGCAGACAGGAGCACTGAACTATATGCATCCCCCACCCCTGTTCCTTACCCTCCCTCTAGCAGGTATTAGCTTTTTGATATATGTGGCTGCCTCCTTGTAATGAGAAAAGTATTCAAAAGAAGCAGCCCTTCTTGATGGCTGATATCCTAGGTCTCTGAGTTGATTCTGTTTATTGTGAAGGATCTGATATGTTATCTTGTTTGCAAATCAGAGTCAATCTAAATGGGTTATCCACTTAGGTATCAATAAAACAGATCTCTGATTCAGATATATATTGTACCTTGTATCCATTTCCCCTGCTTAAATTACCCCTTACTCATATACATCTAAAAAGAACAAATTTTTAAAAAAAGGAAAAAGAAATTATCCTTTACTTGGGGAGTGACATAGTGAAGACTACTGTACCTTTGGGGACAAATTAGTTTTACACTATGGGAGAGAACCCCTGAAATAATGAAATTCAAAGTTTATGTAGGACAGGAAGGCACTTTTGCCCTTTCCCTTAAGGGGTGGTGAGGGAGGAAGCAGGGAAGCAAATGACTTTTTTTTTTTTTTTTTGTACTGGGGATTGAACCCAAGGCACACATCCCCAGCCCTTTCTGTTTTTTATTTTGAGACAAAATCTCACTAAGTTGTTTAGGGCCCTGTTACATTGCTGAGGCTGGCTTTGAACTTGTGATCCTACTGCCTCAGCCTCCTGAGTTGCTGAGATTATAGGCATGTTCTATCCCGCCCAGCTGACTCTGGGTTTTATTACCTTTGATTTTTGGACAGTGTGTGGGAAAGAAAACATTTTGTATCTTCCATGATATGTTTACCATTAAACATCCATTAACCCAAGTTCCAGTAATCTGCTCAGAAAGTCCTGACTATACAAGCATTCATTATTTCTCCCCGAGCTAGGCAATGTTTTGCTGTTCTTTCTGTCCCTGCAGTTCTTGGAAGGGTAGGCAAGGTTTCTAGGGAGTAGGGATGAAGAAAGTTATAGTATGATGGATTCCACATTCACCCCTGAGCCCAGAACATAGCAGACACCCAGTAAAGGTCTGTTGAATTACATCAGTCCATCCTTTAAGATTTAATAAAGGTGAGGCAGAGGGTTGGTTCTGAGGCAGAAGTGCTGATTGTCCTGATGGTACTCCCCCAAGCCAGGGCAATCTATGTCTATGGATTCTTTTCCTCTGGGCCTTAGGCAAAGCCCCTGGCCCCTTGGAGCAGAGCCAGCGTTCCTGACATCCCCACCGCCAAGGGTGAATGCACACAGGCTGGGACTACTCCAGAGGGGACAATGCTACTGGGATTGGAGGTTCCCGGAATCAGGAAGGGATTTCCGTCCAGTGTTAAGTTACCCACCTTGGGCAACTCGTCTGACAGTGGCTTCCTATTTAGCCTATTGCAGCTGAGATTGAGTACCTCGAGCTCTGCCGGCAGTCCCTTAGGCACTTGCTCCAACCCAGCAAATGACAGATCCAGGGAGTTTAGCGCGCTAGGCCAGACACACCCAGGATCCTCGGGTTTTGCAGTAGCGAGCAACGAGTTGTGGCTGAGGTCTAGGCGGTGGGGCTGCACACCAGCTGTAGCCAGAGCAGAGCACACCTCATTGGGCGTCTGTATTCCAGCGTTGCGTAGCGCTAGATCCCGGAGGACCGGGAACTTGTGGGGACAGAGGGTCGCCATCAGTCCGCGTTTTCCCAGTCCAGGATTGTTAGACAGGTCTAGGGTGGTGAGGGCCGAGAAAGTGAGGACTTTGTCGCAGGAAAAATCAAGCGGGTGTGTTTGGGCAATATTCAGTACCTTGAGACCCGGCTTGAGCCAGTGCTGCAGTTCCGGGAGCCAGGCACCTCCTGTAGTCCAGGACACATTGCGAAGGCGCAAGACGGAAAGCCCTGGCCCTTGGATTCCTACAGGCTGCGGCATGGTGCCTGTTACTTCTAAATCCTCTAGAGTTAGTTCCTTGAGGCGGGAATACCCTAGCACACGCAGGGCGCCGAATAGCAGTAGAGCAGGAACCCGTGCAGCTCCAATCGTGAGCCTCCGCAAACGTAGAGCCTTGACTATGTCCATGTACTGCCGTGGGTCTGCGTCGATGTCGACACGCTCTAGAAATTGTTCCAGGCTGCGGCCGCCGCCACGGATCTCCACATCAACCGCACTTACACACAGGAAGGCGCTGGACCAGTCGGGTTGCGGTTCCGAAAAGTTGCAGGCACAGTGGATGTCGTCCTCGTCCAACTCGCAGGGATCCGGAGTGGCTGCAGAGATATCCAGCAGCGGCAGCAGCAAAAGCAACAACCAGCGCACGCTCTCCTGGAGAGACAGCAAAAGTCAGAGAGGTCCCAGTTAGTCCCCAGGGATGCCCAGCTCAGGTGCCCCCAGCTCGACCCCAAGACTGTAAACTCACCATGGTTGTTAAATCCTGAAAGCCTCTATGGCCTGAGTGGGCTCTGGAAATGGCTTTGGTGGCACTCTCGGGCTTCCAGCCTCATGCTCTTATCTATTCTGTTTGCCCCAAGAGTTTGGGCAATCCTGTGATGTCACTCCGTTTCCTCCTCTGTGAACCCTGGTCACTTCACCACATCTGTTCCTGCCAATAGCCCTACGCACTTCCCTTCTAGGAAATATTACAAGTGAAGGTTGATGCAGGGAGAGGGGCTGAACCAGGAAGAATTCTTTGAGGGCATTTAGACACCCGGTGCCAGGCAATGAAGAATGACTCAGGCGCCCCAGGCTTGTCTGGCAGGAATGGGGAACGGATGATCCCCTGTGCCTTAAGTCTTAAGCCAGCACCTTTGCTTCCTGGTATATATTCCAGGGACTCAGTCAAATTGGTTTTCCTTACTTTTCTCTAGTCTTGGTTAATATTATCTTCTGGCCACCCAAATCCAAATCCTTGATTTTCCTCAGATATTGTTAGACCAGATCGCAAAGAAAAGACCACTGACTTCAATTAAAATCAAATTAAAAGCAAGCTTATTATTTCGACCAGCTGGACTGCCTCTCCCAAAAAAAACACGGGAATAAGACAGCCCTACAGCTTTCTTGGAACCCAGCTTTTAGAAAGTTACACAAAGGGGAAGGTTATAGATAACAAAACTCTGACGAGCGTAACATAAATGCTAGTTTATATTTTTGCTGGCCCAACATCAGAATTTATGAAGGTCATTAGAGCCTCAGAGAGGGTCATTTTCTGGCCAGGGAAGGCCAAGATTTATGAGGCCTCACTAAAATTTCAGAGAGGGCTGCTATCTGGTCAGGGAAAGCCAGGCATGGGTGAGTTCAAGGCACGAGCAGACATTCCAAACAAGTTCAGAATTTGCAGTAATTTATAGTAAAGCCGAAATTAGCTTTCATGTCTTTATGGCGAGATGGCTTCCAATTTTAAGAGGGAATCAGAGTGGGTTTATCAATATTTAATTGGATGTTTTGTGGAAGAGATTGTGAACTTCTTCTGTTGTCTTAAGAGGGTACAACTAGGTCTGGGGTTGTGGCTCAGTGGTAGAGCGCTTGCCTCACATGTGTGAGGCACTGGGTTCGATTCTCAGCACTATAAATAAATGAGTAAAATAAAGGTCCATCAACAACTAAAAAATATTTTAAAAAGAGGGTACAACTAGCTTTGAGAAAAGGAAGTTGGTCTGAAGAAAAACTCTTCTTCCTCCCTCCTTATTTATTCCTTTATTTAATAACTTTATTAAAAGTAGAGGTGTCTGGAGGCTGGGGTTGTAGCTCAGCAGTAGAGTGCTTACCAAGCATGCGTGAAGCACTGGGTTCGATCTTCTGCACACATAAAAATAAATAATTGAAATAAGGGTATTGTTTCTATCTACCAAAAAAAAAAAAAAAAGTAAAGGTGTATAGGCCAGGTGCAAGGTGCCTCTGGAATTTACTGAGACCCTCAGCAACTTAGCAAAACCCTGTCTCAAAATAAAAAGGGTTGGGATGTAGCTCAGTGGTAAAGGGTCCAGGGCTGAATCCCCACCCAGTATCTAAAATAAAACAAAATACAAACAAACAAAACACCCAAAAACCAAAAACAAATGAACAGGGCTGGGGATATAGCTCAGTTGGTAGAGTGCTTGCCCGGCATGCACAAGGCCCTGGGTTCAATGCCCAGCACCACAAAAACAAAAACAAAAAACAGGTGTTTAACAGACACATATTGACCTAGTTGCTCTATCATTTATTCACAGTACTCATTTCCTCTCCTGAAATTGGAAAACAAGATATTTTAAATGTAAATTTCCTGTAGGGTCCTCAAGGTGCTCTCACTTTTTCTCTCATCTTAACCAAGAAATACCAAGTGCTTTGATGGCTCTGTGACCTGATCAGCTGCATGTTTTCCCCTGAAGGCTTGAACCCAAGCCAGGGCCTGCAGCATTCCCAGGCACAAGTAAAGCTATTTAGGTTGTTGCCCAAAACACTGAAAGAAACTAGCCCAGAATCTAAGCCAAATTCCTTAACCTCTCATATAAACTCCATACCCTGATTTCCTTGTTATGAACATATATAGGTAGAACATCTTTCTCTTGCAGTTTGTAATTAGGTTAGGAAACTGCTGCCCACTCAGTAGTTACCTTCCTCTAATAAATGCCTTGGATTGATCACCCTGGCACCTAGTGCTTTCAATAAAACCAACCTAATTTGTAAAGATTTGGGGTACTGCCTTGTGGAAATCCCACTGCATTTGGAGGGCAACTTCAGCCTCTCATTCAGCCAAGAAGAAATATTTCCCATTTGTAACTTGCTATTCCCTGCCCTCCTTCCAGGGCAATTCTTGTGCCTAGAAGGAAGGGCTGGAAGTATGTTGAATGAGGATTAATTAGTAAATCACCCGTTTTGCCAAGGGGGGGGACCCAGAAACAAAAAACAAGAGTCCCAGATGGCGGTAAGGGCTAAGCATTTATGACCGCACTCACAAATTCATAGTTCTAGACTTCTAGGGAAATAGCTACTTGAAAATATTTTTTTTTGGTACCAGGGATTGATTGAACCCAGGGGCTCACTAAGTTGCTGAGACTGGCTTTGAATTGTGATCTTCCTGCCTCAGGCTCCTGAGTCACTGGGATTACAGGCGTGCACTATCCCATCTGACTCTCACACTTGATCTATCTATAGATAACATATATAGATAGATATAAATATATTTACCTTTATATGGTACTGAGGATCGAACCCAGTGCTTCACATGTGTGAGGCAAGCGCTCTACCGCTGAGGTATAACCCCAGCCCCTCACACTTGCTTTTTAATTGAGGAGTAGTTGTACATCTGTCCCCAACCCAAACAAGGAAGCTTCAGACCACATTGCCTCCTGCGTATCCTGTTGGCATACTCTGATTGCCTGAGCCATGCCCCAAGGCTAGGTTAGATCACTGAGACATCCTCGAGGACCAAGCAGTGAGTACAGCTCCTCATTAAATACAATGACAGCGAAGTCGGCAACTAGTATTAGAATCCTAGCTCTCTCTCTGGCGTGGTGAGATTTGGCCAACCAGCCCTCCTTTGGAATTCCGGCCCTGCCCTACCCCTCCTCTCCACTTCGCCCCGCCCTCACTTCGTCCCTCCACCCCACCCCCCCCCCACGCTCTGCGCTGCGGCTGCGCAGTTGGTGCCGTTTTTTCTCCGTGCGGCCGGGTGTAGCTGTTTTGAGATTAGTGAGCTCCTTGTGGATATCCCCCAGCTCTACCATGTGGACTCGAAAGCCCCGCCGCCCCGGGTTGATGGCCGGCGGGGTGGAAGAGCTACGGCGCCGCCGACGGGAGCGGGAGGCAGGTGTGGGCGGGCGAGGCAGCACTGGTGTGAGGGTGGCGCTTGGAGATGGGGGGAGGCGATCCTCCGCTCCGACCCGCGAGTTCTGGGWCCACGTCGCCTCTCACCCACTGAGCCGATTCTGTTCCCAGCACTGCGGAAGGCGCGGAGGGAGCAGCAACTGGTCAGCAAGAGACTGCTGAGAGAGGACGACCCGGAGGAAGCCGGAGGGGAATCTTCGGCCGCGGTTCTGGGAGAAGCCGAGGTGAGCGGGCCAGGCAGGACTGGGTTCGGGCTATAGTCCATTCCTGCGGACACCAAGCCTCGCTAGTATTTGAAGTGTGTCTGCCTCCTACCTGAACGCGATCCACTCTACGTCTCCATCTAGTGGGTCGAACCAGCAATAGGGGCATCATCCTCCACAATAAATTGTCCCTTCTCTCTCTACATCATCCCATTGTCAAGTCCTGACCGTTTTTACCTCTTAACAATTTTTTTTACATACTTAGCCATCGTATTTGTCACCACCATCTCTGGATATTACAGCAGGCTCCTAAAAGCTTCTACATTTGCCACTCGCTGTAGGTCTTTTAAAAACACAGAGACCAAAATCCTTCCTGTGTGTGACCTGCAAAGCCCATCATGGTCTCACCTCTGCCTATCTCCAGCCTGTATCAGCTTACTCAACCCAACTACTGCCCCCTTTTCGTTTCCTGGAATAATATACCAATTCCTTTCCTGTTTCAAGGACTTTGTATCTGTAATATCTAAAATGGATCTCTTTTGGCATTGGTATTTTGGCAACCTGTTTGTTTTTTGCAGAATATTAATYGTATTCTCTAATTTGCTTGTTTATTGACTCCCCAACTAGACTCTAAATTCACAAAATCCTCCTATCTTATTTGCCATCATTGAAAACCCAGATGGCAGACAAGTGCGATTGCATGCCTGTAATCCCAGTGATTTAGGAGGCTGAGGTAGGAGGATCATAAATTCAAGGCAAGCCTTGGCAACTTAGACCTTGTCTCAAAAATAAATAATAAGGGCTGGGGATGTAGCTTAGTAGTAGAGTGGCTCTAGCTTCAATCCCTGGTACTGGAGGGAAGAAAAAGAAAAAAAATCAAATGGTTGCACAGTATATGAAATACAGTAAATGTTCAGTATTTATTGAATGAATAAATGAAATTACATTCAGCAAGCACTGGGGTATGCCTTGTATTTGTATTGTGYATGCTTTCATATAATAGTTTACCAAGCACTTAACACCTAGCCTATACTGCTTATTCATTGTGTGCTTACTTTATGCCAGGACAATGTGGCGGGCATTGAGGTACACAAAGATGAAAAGTTATTTTCTTTGAAGGGCTTACAGACCAATGAAGGAGACAGTTGTGATATGATACCACCTATCATAATGGAAGGAAACATGAGGCTCAAGAGAAACCCTTTTTTTTTTTTTTTTTTGGTGGTACTGGGGTTTGAACCCAGGGCCTTGTGCATGTGAGGCAAGTACTCTACCAATTGAACCATATCTCCAGCCCTATTTTGTATTTTACTTAGAGACAGAGTTTCACTGAGTTGCTTAGCCACTCACTGTTGCTGAGGCTGGCTTTGAACTTGCAATTCTCCTATCTCAGTTTCCAGAGCCATTGGAATTATAGGCGTATGCCACTGTGCCTGGCAAGAGAAACTCTTTAGTCTGTTGAAGGACGACTAGAGGGATTGGTCATGCAAAAGCTTGGAAGCATTAAAACAAATCACATCATGCCAGGTGTTGCTGGAGTGTAGGTTACATGGGGAGAATGGCTGAAGGAGTAGGTTTTGCCAGGCTGAGGAGTTTAAATGTTACCTTTGAAATAACCTTTTAAAAAGGCAGAGTAGATACTGTCATTCTCATTTTCATGTGAGGAAACTGGGGTTCAGGTCCCTTACAGGGTATGTTGTAGGGCGGGTATTCGTACTCACTCTTGATTCCCAACCTGTGTGCTCCCTTGCAAGATTTAGCTATATTAGTATTCATGACAAGTTTTAGGGATGGTGGTGTGATATTGAAGGCCTCCCAGGTGAATTGGGTAGAGAAGATCTCAGAACTTGCTTCTTGGCTGTTGTGTGTTCTGTCTTTGTTCTGGGCTTCAGGTCCAGGAGTTCTTGCGGCTAGCCCAGCGGGGTACAGAGGAAAAGGAGAGAGAGAAGGCTCTGGTCAATCTTCGTCGAGGCTTGCAGCACCCTGAGACACAGCAAATTTTCATCAGGTCTGTGTGGATGATATGGGTCAGCTGGGGCTCTGAGGGGACAGTGTAAAGGGAATGGAGCACATGATTAACAGGTCTCTGGTGTTCATTCATGTAGGCTGGAGGGCAGCATGCGGACCTTGGTTGGGCTCCTGACCAGCAACAGAGCCCTGTTGCAGCTTGAGGCAGCTCGGTGCCTGCATGAGCTTTCTCATTCTGAGCAGTCTGTGGTGGCTGAGGCCTGCCTGCCAGCTACTTCCTACCTCCTCACCTACCTTTCTGGTCACAGCTCAGATTTCATAGTAAGCCCTGTACCCTCCTACCTTGCTCTGAGCTTAGAATTTAAAAGTGTGATTTGGGGGCTGGGCGTGGTGACACATACTTGTAATCCCAGCAACTCAGGAGGATTGCAGGTTCAAGACCAGCCTTATCAACATAGTAAGGTCCTAAGCAACTTAATGAGACCCTGTCTCAAAATAGAAGATAAAAAGGGGGCTGGGGATGTGGCTTAGTGGTTCAGTGTGGCAAGTTCAATCCCTGGTTCCAAAACCAAACAAATTGGTTCCAATTCAAGCTATATGTAGGGGCAAGGAAAACAAACAAACAAAAACCCCCCTGCTTCCCGTGATGCTATAGCAATGTGTATACCCATCATTTAGCTACCCTCTATAAGCTTCAAGGACCAGGCTGTTCCATCTTTCTTATCCCATCTCTGTTGTGGCATGAGATGAATGCAGCCCTTGTTTTTGTTTCCTGCTCTCAGGAGCTCTGTTTGTATACACTGGGGAATCTGATCGTGGAGAGTGAGGTTGTAAGACAGCAGCTCCTGCCACAGGGCATTGTTTCAGCCTTTGCTGCCTGCATCCAGGTGAGTGCCTTTTTTTTCTTCCCTGGGCAAACCTATCACTCCTCTTTGCATGCTCCACTGGCTTTGATTGGGTAGCTCTAGTCTCTGCTCTGTCAAGGGGCTGAGTCTTAGGAGACCTTATGATCCAGCTTCCAGAGACAGATTTTACTGTCTACTTCTAGTCCCCTCATGTGGCTGTGCTGGAAGCCCTTGGATATGCCTTGTCCCAGCTTCTACAGGCTAAGGAAGCTCCAGAGAAGATCATTCCGTAAGTAAAATTATTTTTCCACATGTGCAGCCTAGGTTGATGTTCTTGGTAGTATAGCCCATGGATACCTGATCAGATCTGATTTCCAAAGCTGTTGAACGTTTTAACTCTGTATGTCTGACTAGGAAGAGCCTTGGGTTTGGACACTTTGCCTCTTGCTAAAAGGATTTGGGAGGAACCATTGACATTTTCATGGTTCCTACTCACAGCTCTTCTGTTGGCAGCTCTATCCTGGACTCCCTCCTCCCCCAGCACATGCTGCGATTGATGCAACCTGGCCCCAAACTGAACCCTGGGGTTGCTGTGGAATTTGCCTGGTGCCTTCACTACATCATCTGTAGGTAACATAGGCCATTTGGGAAAATTGCAGAACTCCAGGGAAAGGGCTTCCTTCCATGACACTTAGGCCTTTGAATTTTAGGTTTTTGGAATTGCTGTAGTGAGTTTTCATCCTTTTTGGGGTCCTCTCTTTGGCCCAGGAGCCCCACAGACTTAGGCTGTTTCCCAGCTTAAAGGTGGGATTACCTGGATAGTGACTGCTTGCTTTTTGTTGCACAGTCAGGTGAATAATGCTCTGCTCATCACCCATGGGGCTCTGTCTACTCTGGGGCTACTGCTGTTGGACTTGGCGGGGGCTGTCCAGAGAACGGAGGAGGCAGGACTGGAGCTGGTAAGTTAAAAGAACAGGTAGTGGGCTGGGGCTCAGTGGTAGAGCACTTGCCTAGCATGTGCAAGGCCCTGTGTTATATCCCCAGCACTACAAACAAACAAACAAACAACAAAAAAACAGAACAGCCTGGTAGACATCTTTTCTAGATGAAGATATTCTTCTCTTCTGGTGTTCAGATAACCCCTTCTTTCTCACACCTAACCCTCATCTTGTCTTTGCAGCTCGCATGCCCTGTGGTCCGGTGTCTAAGCAACCTGCTGACAGAGGTGGCAGTAGAGGCTGTGGGAGAGCAAATGCAACTCAAAGATGAACGTATTGTGGCAGCCTTATTTATCCTCTTCCAGTTCTTCCTTCAGAAACAGCCCAGCCTGCTTCCAGAGGGCCTCTGGCTACTCAATAATCTCACTGGTATGCACTACAATCTTCTCAGACCTGGAACTTCATTTTTTGTGGTATTGGAGATAGAACTCAGGGCCTTGCACATGCTAGACAAGCACTTTACTGTTAAGCTATATCCCCAGTCCTTATTTTATATTTAAGATTTATTCAATTTTTAAAATTTATTTTAAAATTTTACTTTTCATTTATTCTACCATTACCAAAATGTTTATTAAAACCAACGCACAGCTGGGCATGGTGGTGCATGCCTGTAATCCCAGTGGCTCGGGCTCGGGAGGCTGAGTCAGGAGCATCACAGGTTCAAAGCCAGCCTTAGCAAAAATGAGGCGCTAAGCAACTCAGCAAGACCCTGTCTCTAAATAAAATACAAAATAGGGCTGGGGATGTGGCTCAGCGGTTGAGTGCCCCTGAGTTCAATCCCTAGTAGAAAGAAAGAAAGAAAGAAAGAGAGAGAGAGAGAGAGAGAGAGAGAGAAAGAAGAAGGAAAGAAGGAAGAAAGAAGGAAGAAAGAAAGAAGGAAAGAAAGAAAGAAAGAAGAAAGAAAGAAACCCACTAAAGCAGGAGGAATGAAAGTTCAAATCCAGCAAATGCTGACTAGAGGATGGGGGAGAGCATTTCTAATACCATAACAGGGGCCCTGCATTCTGGGCTGGGAGATGCCCTTCACTTATCCCTCCTGCTGACCATTAGTGAAGATCTGCACTTAACCTCTCCCACTTTATACGTATCTTTTGATGGGCAGGTGGCCCTGAAATGACTTCCTGGAGAGGAACCCTTTATCTACTATGGCTGTCAGGCACTTTTCCTTTCCAGTTGCCCCAGTTCCTTCATGGTGGGTTGAAAGAATAGCTCAGGGATCCCTGTCCTTGCTTGTGGGTATAGGGAAGTGAGGTATCAGCCTTATACTCCTCCTGCCCTTGGCTTGTTCCCCAGGCTTACCAAAGAGGCCTCAATAAGTAAATAAGGCTCCGCTAAGGCTTCAGTCAGAAACATTTTTAAGACAGAAGCATTCTTTTTGTCCTTCAAACCCAGCCAGGCCGCTGCCTGACCTAGTCAGTACACAGGATTCTGGGGATAAGTGATCACACTGGGTCTCATGAGCAAGGAGACTGGAAGTGCAGTTAAAACTCTCTGCCATGGGCACACATGGACTCAAACACACATGGGGACAGAATGGGTGTATCTGCAATACACACAGATGTGCTCACAATTAATTCCCTACTATGCGCTCCCGTGCTTAAACATCATACTCACTTCAAGTACACATCTATGGGGTGTTGGATGTACATACATACACATCACAAATATGGAATCCTTTTCCTGACTCAATCCCCTGGTGATAGCCAGACCACAGAGCCAGAAGCTACTGTGCTATAGGATATAGAGGTATAAATTAAACTTCCAGTCAGGCCAGGAGAAGGGGACTCCAAGGATGATGATAGGGTAGGGATCTCTATGAGACTGTGGCTTCCCTAAGCCTTTTCAGAAATCCAGGAGCTCAGGTCCCCAAAATCATAGTCAGGTCTCTGAAATCCTTGCCTTCCTAGGGAGATGAGAATGGTAATTAAGGGCCTTGTGAAGAAGGGCAGAGGCTGTTGAACTCAGGAAGTCAAGTTCCTGCACATGCCAGGACTGAGATGGCATCAGGGGCAGGTATTCCTTATCCACAGGGCCCTATAGACCATTGGTCTGGAGCAGCACTTCTTGCTCCAGACTGAGAAGGGCCTGGACTTTAGCTTGGGCTATGAGGAAGTACACCTATGTCTAAAGTGGGTAGGATTTGGGGGACAGTGGTTCAGGCCCAAATTTAAGGTACTTCATGCTGACTTTTTCCCTTACAGCAAACAGTCCTACTTTGTGTACCTCCTTGCTTTCCTTGGATCTGATTGAGCCCCTCTTGCAGCTGTTGCCACTATCTAATGTGGTTAGTGTACTGGTATGTATTTGGGTCACGAGTCTAGGACCTCCTTGTCAAAGTATAAACAAAAACAGTCCTGAACCCTCAGAACAGTTAACTGAGAGCTGGCAGGTGGTGTGGTATAATTTCAGAGGTAGACCAGTTTAGGCGAGTTCCTAAATTGGATTAGTGCACTTTCCTTCCTTAAGCTTCAGTCTCACTTAAAATGGGGATTACAATACATGTATATGAAAGAACCAGGCAGTGTCTAGGTGTGTGATCAGCACTACATGTATTCTCTCTAAAATCTTTGGTTTTCATCTTTTTGGGGACTGTATACATGTCTCTCCACAGGTACTCACAGTTCTTTGCAATGTTGCAGAGAAGGGTCCAGCTTACTGCCGGCAGCTGTGGCCAGGACCCCTGCTTCCCTGCTTGCTGAACACGTTGGCCCTCTCTGATACTGAAGTAGTAGGCCAGAGTTTGGAGCTGCTACAGCTGCTATTCCTGTATCAGCCAGAGGTAGATTTCTGGCCCTGGGCCCTGCTATTCTCCCCAGCTCCGACACCTCTGGTCTCACCATACTTCCTTTACTTTATAGTCCTAACTATAGTTGCTTCTCTGGACTAGACTGGCCTAATGTGGGCTGCAGGTTAGAACTCATCTTGTTGGCAATGCACCCTCTTCCATGAAGTGGAACCCATGAGGTTGTGGGAATTGAGTTTTAGGGCATGGGGACTCAAGTATTTAATTATTATTTTTTTCTCTGCCCCCAGGCTGTCCAGGCCTTCCTGCAGCAATCGGGGCTGCGGGCTCTGGAAAGGCATCAGGAGGAGGTCCAGCTTCAGGATCGGGTGCATGCCCTCCAGCAGATAGCTCTTCGCAGCTGACCTGGCTTCTCAATGTCACACATTATCCTGCTTCCCAAGCTTCTTTTAGGGGTAAACAATGGCGTCTTTGGGATATTAGAACCATCATGAGGTCTCATGCTCTTTGCTCCTGCACCTAAGCCAACACCTTTGGAGCCCAGTTGCTCAGATTTTTACCCAGCATGGCCCAGAGGGGACTCTCTGGCTCATTTATTCTGGAGGCCCTGGACCTCCCCCATCCCCTACGGTCCCCCCTTTGGGATGGGGTTGTACTGTGTTGCCCACACTGGTTTCATACTCCCAAGTGCTCCTCTTGCCTCACCCAAGTAGTTGGATGACAGGTGTCTGCCACTGCACCTGGGTCAGCTGGTGGCTTTTGATAATAAAGCTTTATTTTTGTATTAAACTACCTTGTCTCAGTGATTGTACAATAAGGAGTATAGGGTAAAATAAAGAACATTCTGAGGCAACATTTTACAGCACAAGCTTTATAAGGAACAGGGGAACACATTTTTCCATATTGTATTCAGTCCAACAGAGCTCAGATTCTGGGGCTCTTGCTCATACACTTCTGTGGAGACTTCAAGCTTTGCCACTTAGCACATTCTCCAGGGTTCTGGTTACCTGATCAGCACTGAAGTTGTTCAAAGAGACATTCTTCTCTTGCCCAAATGCTGAGGGGAAGAGAAAAAGAGGTGGAGAGGTAATTAGCATGTACTGTGCAGAGTGGGACTACCAAATTGTATTTATAGAATTAATCCAGTGAACTTCTGGCATAATATATGGCACAATGCACTTAAGTTACTTATGTTTGTCTCCCCTTTATGCTTTAGCAAGATATAATTAACAGCTGTGATTAAAATGCCACTGTTTGGTAATATAAATATTTACTGCATGCTTATTGTGTGTCAGACAACATGGTAAGAGATTTTTGGACTGTAATAAATTGGAATAAGGTAGTATGACTAAAAGGGACTGATGCAATGTTACATAACTGGTCAGGGAATGCACTTTTGAGGAGGGTAATATATATTCAGACCTGCAATAACAACAACCTGGATAGTAACATAAAAGCCATGGAAGTCCAGGAGAGGTGCATTCTAGAAAAAGGGTGTGTGTTGGGGGGAATACAAAGGCTGAGCCCTGTTATATATTAGCTGGATAACTTTAGGTATATTTTATAAAGTTTTGATTCAGTCTTCTAATTTCTACAATGAGAAAAGAATCAACACCCTCAAATGATTAATGAAGATTAAATGAGTTAAGCAGGTAAGCACTCAGGACAGCCTCTAAAACTAAGTGCTGCACGTTACTGAGATTTTACACCCATCGCACTGGCCACAAGTAATTGGGAAGAACTTACGCTGAGGCGAACTAACCAGCAATTCTGTTTTTTTTTTTTTTTTTTTTTTTTTTTTTGGGGGGGGGGGGGTACCAGGGATTGAATTTAGGGGTACTCGACCACTGAGTCACATCCCCAGCCCTACTTTGTATTTCAGAGACAGGGTCTCACTAAGTTGCTTAGCCCCTCGCCATTGTTGAGGCTAGCCTCCAGAGCAGCTGGGATTACAGGCGCGTCTTCAAATCAAGCCCATTCTATAAAACTCCCGGTACCTAGGCGGGGGCCGGCTACCCCCATAGACATGCTGCCCGAGATACAAAGCGTTATATAACCCCACAAATGTTAATTTCTTCATTGGCAACAGCAGCCTCAAGTTGGAATTATACCCTCTCCACACGTTTTTGTGTGACCTTGGACAGCCCCTCTTCTCGAACCTGTTCCTCCACACGGGTCCAACATTCCCAGCGACCGTACTCACCGTAGCGGGCCCAGAGCTTGGGCTGCACATCAGAGCATTCCCGGATTAGAATGGGCAGATCGGGGTTCGCCTTCTTCAGTTCCACATAGCGTTTCTCGATGAAGTCCCTACGGGGCCGGAGAGAGCGCCGCGCGTGCTGTGGGCACGGGCTTCCCCAAACACCCGGGAGGTCGAGGTCGTGACCCCGGCGTCCCGGAGCCCTCCCGCCTCGCCACGCTGCGCCTCACCTGACGCCCTGGCTGCCGGGCGAGCGCTGGCATAAGTGGATGCGAATCTCACGCAGGCCCAACTTTGCCCCCGCTGCTCGACCGGCTGCGGCCGCTGCCATCTTAACTAGTACTCAAGCTCCCAGTCTCAGGCCTTCCAGCCAAGTTCTCCAGTCGGACCAATAGCGGACACACAGCCTACGCCATTGATTGGATGATGCGAGGAGGCGGGGTAAGCTTTAGCCAATGCCAAAAAAGCCTTGTAGACTGCACTCTGCGGGCGGACGGCGAGAGGTGCGAGAGGGAGGAAACGGAAGAGCTGGGAACGCAAAGCAGTGTGGTCGACTTCCGGGGCGTACTCTGGGAAGAGGCCTGTGGCTCCTGTTTTGTTGTCCATTTGGTTCTTGGGAACTCAGCACTTGCTGGCGTTGAAAGACCGCGGACGAAATGCCAGAGCGAGATAGTAAGGCTGTGGCCATCTCTCTTTCTTTCCCGCGCCACTAGGAGCACTTGGCGCGTCATTTTGGCTATTAAGCTTAAGTCGGGAGACGCCGGTGGGCCCCGAGAGACGCCAGGCAGCTTCAGACTTCCAGACCTCTGCCTTAGCAGCGACCGGTGTCTGTTATCAGTGAATCCACCCCGCCCTCTCCCCCGTCACCTCCTTACTTAACTCGACTAGTGGGTTGCAGAGATTCTGCTTTCTCCTAGGGTTTTGTTTCGTTTTTAAGTTGTGTTTCTCGCTGTATCGTTTAGGTTACCCTTAAAACTCTCGATCCTTCTGCTTCAGTCTCCAAGTAGCACAGAGAACAGGAGTGCCCCAGATCTTTCATGAATTTTAGATGTGCTCTTTGGGAAAGTCTAATCCTCCAGAGCAGGTTTAGGAGCCCTCCTTTGCTCTCATAGCTCCTTGTATTTTCCTATTTCAGCACTTATTACATTGTATTATCACTGCCATTCTTGCTTTCTGTATTGTTCACTGCTCTARTTTCCAGTTTTTGCACAGGACCTGATGTACAAGAGACTGATTAATGTCAATTATTTTTGTTAGGTGAGCCGTTCTCCAACCCTTTGGCCCCAGATGGCCATGATGTGGATGATCCTCACTCCTTCCACCAGTGAGTATTTTGCCCTAGGACCATGGAAACAGTTATCAGTGAGTAAGAGTGGTGATGGTGATGGTGAAAGAATTGAGAATATCTTGTCAGCAAGGATGGTCAAAAAAATTGCATAACTTGGCCCATTATCTCTATGAACCTTGACTGTATCAAGCCCACTGAATAAGAGTATTAGAGTTAAATTTTGTCAGGAAAGTTTCTAGTTTTTGAAATATGTTGTTTTATTATACATTATATAGTTAATTCTCCTGTACAGAATTAGAAGATTGGAAATAAGGGTAAAGTTGTCTTTAATAATCTCACAAATTTCAGCCTATTTCTTAGAGATAACAACTGTTCACTTTTTTATGTGTATCTTTTCCTCCTATTATTTTTAAATATACTTGTACATATATTTAAATACCTGAGGAAAATTTATCATTGTTTTGCTAGTTAAAATATTTAAATGGTAGTATACTGCAGCTATCATTTTGCTATTTTTTATTAAAACATCACTTAATATCTTGGAGATTATTTTCACAACGGTGATAAGGATTTCCTCCTTGACTAAACTTTAGTCAAGTTCCAAGAGTCCTGTTTAAAAAAAATTTTTTAAGATGTTGTTGGACCTTTTATTTATTTATTTACATGTGGTGCTGAGAATCGAACCCAGTGCCTTGCACATGCTAAGCAAGAACTCTACCACTGAACCATAACCCCAGCCCCTCCAAGAGTTCTAATTTGACTAAACCTTTTCCTTGGCTTGATTTGAGCAAAGAATTAAGTCGTTCCCTCCACCATACCATACGAACAATTTTCCCAGCTTGTTCTTGAGCTTGTTATTGTCCTATCTCAGCTTAGACTCTGGAGTCTCATCATATTACTGTCATCATGATTATTATTTATGTGATATTAAACTTTTTGGACCTGTTACTCTCCGTTTCTGCTCTTCTAAGGTGGACCAGCAAGGTTTATTAGTAATTTTCTATAAATCCCTACTCTTGTATTAGAGTTGAAGAATGCAGTCAGTAGGAGAAGGAAAGGCCTAATCAGAAGAGGACTCAAAGGAGTCTATCTTTAGTTTGGTCAAGAGAGAATTCTTGTCAGTATGCCCGTTAAATGATTGCTTATACTGTCATTGCTGTATGTCCCACATTTGAGAAACACTATCACAATTTATTTAGTTACTCTTCAGTTGATGGACATTTAGGTTGTTTCCAACCTCATGATATTTTCAATTGAACCTCTTTTCTTTTTTTTTTTTTGGTACTGGGGATTGAACTCAGGGGCACTTGACCACTGAGTTACACATTCCCAGCCCTATTTTGTATTTTATTTAGAGACAGAGTCTCACTGAGTTGCTTAGCACCTTGCTTTTGCTGAGGCTGGCTTTGAACTTGTGATCCTTCTGTCTCAGCCTCCTGTGCTGCTGGGATTACAGGCGTGCACCATCACGCCTGGTAATTGAACTACTTTTTATAGGCTTTCTTATGTACATATGACTCATTGGCTGGGCTAAATATAGAAAAATGAGAGTTGCTGATTCATATGATCCTTATATTTAAATTTTAATAAATACTACCAAATTACCTTCCAAATTGCTTATACTGATTCATGTTCCTGTCAGCAGTATATGAGAATATATTGCTTCTCAAATTCTCAAATTCCCACTTCCCAAGTTCTCACTCATACTTGATTTATCAAATTTTTTAGAAGTCAACCCTAATGTGTTGAAAGTGGCATGTCTTTGTTTTAGTTCATATTTCCCTGTTTTTTAATAAAGGTAATTTTTTTTTCATGTTTCTTTTACATTTATTATTGGGTGCTATTTTTTAAAAATTTGCCTGTTCTTTTAGATCAAAACTCACCAATGAAGACTTCAGGAAACTTCTTATGACCCCAAGGGCTGCACCTACTTCTGCACCACCTTCTAAATCTCGTCACCATGAGTAAGTCTTCAAGTGATCCAGTTTTTCTTCCATTTCCTTCCTATCCCTTTCTATTGATCCAGAATATCCTGGGAGCTGGAAAGCTAATCCTTTTTTAAAGCCTGAGGTTCTGATTTTCTCCTTGAGAAGATTGAAGCTCCAATGATGATGGGGATGTTCAGGGTATATTCCATGGACAACTTACATTAATGAGTCATTACAGTTGCAAATATAGGTTTCTGGGTCTGTTCCAGCCCACAGATTCAGACTTTTGGGGGGGTATACTTGAGACTATATAATTTTCATAGTACTCTAGATCTTCTTGATGCTTTTTAAAATTTGAGAACTGTTTACCTGTAAGTATTAATGTGGATTTCTGCCCAATTTAGTCTGTTGCTTTGGCCAAAATTCTAGACCAGCTTCAGTTCTTAAGGACACTTCTTGGGATTTCTGGGGCAATATTTTACTTTCAGTGAATTTCTTGTTTTCTTTCTAGAATGCCAAGGGAGTACAATGAGGATGAAGACCCTGCTGCACGAAGGAGAAAAAAGAAAAGGTGAAGTGGGTGTGAAGGGGTGGTGGGTTTTAAGGTGGATAGTGTTTGGGGAAAGAGTAGAGACTGAGATTTTCCTTCATTTTTAGGTTCTCTACTTTATAAATGTAGAGGAGTGATAACATTAAGAGTGATGCTGTAGGGGGAGCTGGAGTTGTAGCTCAGTGGTAGAGCGCTTGCCTAGCACGGACAAGGCCCTGGGTACGTTCCTCAGCACCACATAAAATAAGTAAATAAAATAAAGGCATTGTGTCCATCTACACCTAACAAATATTTAAAAAAAAAAAAGTGGTATTGTAGGGCTTTGGAGTCAGCCTACCTATATTTTAATCTTGTCTTTATCTGTTTCTAGCCAGATAGCCTTGGGTACTTTGTTTAACTTCTAATCTACTCATTAAGTCTTGGCTGCCCTCATTATGGATTTTTTTTTTTTTTTTTGGTGGCAGGGGGGTTTGAGCCCAGGGGTGCTCTACCACTAAGCTACAGCTACATAACCCTTTTTACTTTTTATTCTAAGACAGTGTCTCACTAATTTTCCCAGCTTGTTCTTGAGCTTGTTATTGTCCTATCTCAGCTTAGACTCTGGAGTCTCATCATATTACTATCATTATGATTATTATTTATGTGATATTAAACTTTTTGGACCTGTTACACTCCTTTTTTGCTCTTCTAAGGTGGACCAACAAGGAATAAAGTATTTTTAACTAAAATTTAAAAAGTGATATAGTTTCAGGGGATTTTTTTTTTTTTAATTGCAATATGGAAGAGTCTCTCATACCCTTACAGGTTCATTAAAAAGATTTTTAGTGATGGTTGGAGTGTCCCAAGTGGGCATTGGAACAGTATGTCTGTGAACTGGAAGAAGCTCTAATTCTTATTTTGAAGACTTATCAAGAACTGGCTGGCAGTTCTATCAGTTTTTATCATAGAGAGCTGGAGGAAGATGTAGGGAAACAGGCAGAAGTGGTTCTGATGACCCTGAGATAGTATAACTTACATGTCTGATTTCTCTGGTTACAGTTATTATGCCAAGTTACGCCAACAGGAAATTGAGAGAGAAAGAGAACTAGCAGAGAAGTATCGGGACCGGGCCAAGGAACGCAGAGATGGTGTGAACAAGGATTATGAGGAAACAGAGCTAATTAGCACCACAGCTAACTATAGAGCTGTGGGCCCTACTGCTGAGGCGTGAGTACCAAGAGGACCAAGGGGCATGCTTCCTTCAGCATCTCTGTCATATAAGCATACTATGCCATTTTAAGAAGCACTTGATAGCCACAAAGGACTCTTCCGGTGGGGTCTTTTTCATTATGCAGGGACAAATCAGCCGCAGAGAAGAGAAGACAGTTGATCCAGGAATCCAAATTCTTGGGTGGTGACATGGAACATACCCATTTGGTGAAAGGCTTGGATTTTGCTCTGCTTCAAAAGGTGAGTCATGGTGATCAGGTGTGCCRTAATACTAAAGTGTTGAATTCTTTTGTGTGGACCTTGCTGAGATGAGGATGGAGATACATGGTAGTCCCAACCATCTAGTTGGGAAGGGCAAAATATGGCCCCCCTGTAGGGCTAATTGTTACTCACCCA